ACAGAATCCAGGGCCTCACACTGAACTCTACCACCCAGCTCTCTGTCTTTTATTATTTTCACATAGGGCCTCTCTAAATTGCCGAGGCTAGCCTCGAACTTGTGATCCTCCTGCCTCAGTTGCTGGGATTATAGGCTTGTGCCATTCAGCCGGCTGAAATCCCAGTTGTTTTGTTTTTGTTGTTGTTGTTTTTTGTTTTTAAAGAGAGAGAGAATTTTTTAATATTTATTTTTCAGTTTTTGGTGGACACAACATCTTTTATTTTTATGTGGTGCTGAGGATTGAACCCAGCACCCCGCGCCTGCCAGGCGAGCGCGTTACTGCTTGAGCCACATCCCCAGCCCAACCCCAGGTTTTAATACTTGGAAGCCCTGGCTGCTCAGCCAGACACTCTCTCAGCCACAACTCCTTAGACCTGAAGACTCTCAGCAGCCCACCCTCCTCTTCCTGAAGGGAAGCAGCACATCCATGGACGGAAAATGAACTTGACAATCAGCTGCAGATCCAGACCCCGTGTTGCCTGGTGCAGGTGCAGCTGCTCAGACTGCAGTGCACAACTGGGAGGCCAGTGTCAGGGAGGGCACCTCCTGCTGTAGGAAGCCCAGCAGCCTTTGGGGCCCTTTCACAAGGGCTCAGGGTGACTAGACGCTGGAGTGGAGGAGGGGAACCTCATTTCTTAGATGAGTCAGTTCTGGCGTGATTGAAGGCACCTGTAATCCCTGTTGTTTAGGAGACAGATGCAGGAGGATTGTGAGTTTGAGACCAGCCTGGGCTACACAGCAAGACCTTGTCTAAAAAAAAAAAAAAAAGCCATCACAATCTCCCTGGTGAGTCATTTTGCGAGCAGAAGCATGAGAGTCGGCGGGCAGATAGATCCTGGTGGGCACAGAAGGAGGACTTTGGAGGGATGAAGGTGGCGGCAGAAACGTCCTGCCTGCCTGGCCCCTTCCCCATGTGGTGCAGAAACAGTTCTGGAAGGGAGGAAGGAGCTATCCACAACTGTCACCAAGTCCTTTCACTTCTCCAAGTTCCATTTCCTCATCCGTAAAACGGGGCCAGGAATTCGTGCCTCTCAAGGCTACCATGAGGAATAAGTAGCAAAGGCACGGTAAACGGTGGCTTCTGTTAGCACCATCCTTAACCAGCCCCTGGGTCAGGCCTTCTCTCTCCTTCCACCTCCCTCACCTCCACAAGCCCCCTCGCCCTCCCACTCCAGGATGCCGAGCCCCTCAGCTTCGCCCGGCCGTGCAGACTGGGACTTCCACATTCCCATATGTTCCTGCGAGGAATGCGTTGTCATTGTCCTTTCCTCTCATCTGAGTGGCCGCCTCCTCTCCATTCCTTGTGGAATTCTTTGGACTGAATTGCACCACCGTGGGACCCGTTTCGCCTTTCTCTCTCTCTCTCCCTTTCTTTTGTGTGCATAGCGGTGGGTAGTGTTGGAGATTGAACCCAGGGCCCTTGCTTGCTAGGCAGGTGCTTAACCACTGAGCCACTTCCCCGCCCTTCTGTTTATTCTTTTTTTTTTTTTTTTGGTACTGGGGATTTAAGCAGGGGCGCTTAACCACTCAGCCATATCCCCAGCCCTTTTTATTGTTTCATTTTGAGACAGGGTGTCACTAAGTTGCTTAGGACCTGATAAGTTGCTGAGGCTGGCTTTGAACTTTCGATCCTCCTGCTTCAGCCTCCTGAGTCTCTGGGATTATAGGCATGTGCCACTGTGCCCAGCTCCATTTGCCCTTCTTAAATCATGTGGTAAGGTCTGGTATCATAAGAGTAATGGGCACAGAGAACCATGGGGACACTGGGCCATGCCCCTCGTGCACACCCAGCTCTTCTTCATCAGGACCCAAAGGACCAACAACAGTTGGAGTCTGAGCTCCAGACTGTTTGTTTATTTTTTTGGTTGTATGCATTAACATTTCATCTTTTTTTTCTTTTTGTTGTTTTTTAAATTGTGGCAAAATACACATCACAAAAGTTTCCATTTTAACCTTTTTTTTCAGCTTGAGAAAAATGAGATAGTTTATCATTTCAGATGCATTAAGATTTACCAGATAGGGCTGAGGTTGTGGCTCAGTGGTAGCGCACTCACCTAGCACATGTGAGGCCCTTGGTTCAATCCTTAGCACCACATAAAAATAAATAAATAGATAAAATAAAGGTATTGTGTCCAACTACAATTAAAAAATAAAGGGGCTGGGGATGTGGCTCAAGCGGTAGCACACTCGCCTGGCATGCGTGCGGCCCGGGTTCGATCCTCAGCACCACATACAAACAAAGATGTTGTGTCCGCCGAAAACTAAAAAATAAATATTAAAATTCTCTCTCTCTTAAAAAAAAAAAAATATTTTTTAAAAAGATTTACCAAATATATAAAACAAATTAGCTATAACTGTTTATTGCAGATTTCTGGACTACTCTTTTTCATCCCACAGTGCTGGAAATCCAGCACAGGGTCTTGTGCAGACTAGGCAAGAATTGTACCCCTGAGCCGCCTCCCCAGTCCAGCTTCCTGGCCAGTCCTAGTCACTGAACTTACTATATGGATTTTTAAATCTTTTATGTATTTATTTTTTTGTTGTAGTTGGACACAATACCTTTATTTTATTTATTTATTTTTATGTGGTGCTGAGGATCAAACCCAGGGCCTCGCACATGATAGGCGAGCATTCTACCTCTGAGTCACAACCCCAGCCCAGGATTTAAAAAAATTTTTTTAAAATATAAGTTTAACATACCAGGCACAGTGGCACATGCCTGCAATTCCAGCAACTTGGGAGTCTGAGGCAGGAGAATTGCCAAGTTCAAAGCCAGCCTGGGCAACTTAACAAGATCCTGTCTCAAAACAAGAATTAGAAAGGGCTACAGATATAGCTCAATAGTACAGTGCTCCGGTTCAAGCCCAAAAAACAAATAAAAAGAAAATATATATAATATTTGCCCATTTTTGCCATTTTAAGTGTACAGTCAAGTGGCCTTGAGTCTATACACCATGTTGTGCAACCATTACAAACACAAAGTTTCAGAGATGAATGAAGTGTCTTAGACTGAAACTCTACACCCATTAGACAACCATTCCCCACCCTGTTTCCAGCCCCTCACAATCACCATCCTACTTTCTGTATGATTTGGATTATTCTAGAAACCTCATCTATGTGGAATCATGATGTTTGTCCTTTTGTGTCTGGTTGATTCCGCTTATATTGTATTCAGAGTTTATCCATGGTGTGGCATGTGTCAGGATCCCCTTCTTCTTTACGGCTGAATAATATTCCGTTGTATGTACACATCACTTTTCTTATCCATTCATCCATCTCTGGACCTTTGGGTTACTTCCACCTTTTGCTGACAGCTCCTTGGGAAGAAGAAGATAGAAAAACCTGTCTCAGCTACCAGCTTAGAGTGACCTCTCGTGATTGCCAAATGTTAGAATAGTTTTATTACTATATATATATATTCTTCATAGAAGATTTTAAAAATGTGTATAAGCAAAAAACTCTTATGATAAAAATCTCTTACGATCCCCAAATATCTGAGAGATAATTGCTATTAACATGGTTTGTGGACTCAATGTTTGTGATACCCACCCCTAAAGCCTCAAACACCCTTATGACTTCATTTGGAGGTAGGACCTTTATGGAGACTTTAAGGCTAAAGGAAATCACAAGGGTGGAGACTTGATCCATTAGGGTTAGCATCCTTATAAAAAGAGACACCAGAGAACTCACTTGCTCTCCCCCATGTGGAAACAGCAAGAAGTAGTCATTTACAAGCCAGAAAGAATCCTCACCAGAAACTGAATTGGCTAGCACCTTGATCTTGGACTTCCCAGTTTCTAGAACTGTGAGGCATAAATTTCTGTTTTTTTTTTTTTTTTGTACCAGGGATTGAACCCAGGTGTGCTTAACCTCTGAGCCACATCCCCAGCCCTTTTTTATATTTTATTTAGAGACAGGGTCTCACTAAGTTGCTAAGGCTGGCTTGAGACTCACAGTCCTCCTGCCTCAGCCTCCTGAGCCACTGGAATTATAGGCATGTGCCATTGCATGCAGTTAAATTTCTGCTTTTGAAGCCATCCTTCTGTGGTATTTTGTTATGGGGTGCCTGAACTAAGACACCTGTTTAGTTTTCCTATCATCTCTGTGTGTGTGCATTTATATTTGCTTTTTTAAAAAAAGGGAGATTGGTCTTGGGCAGTACACCCTAGAGCCAAGAACAAAGGCACTGGAACCAGGCTGCCCTGGGTTCACAATCTCAGAGGTGCTGCTATGGGGATCAAAGTAGAAAATGCTGGTAAAGGGGCTGGGGCTCTAGCTCAGTTGGTAGAGTGCTTGTCTTGCATGCACAAGGCACTGGGTTCAGTCCCTAGCACCACACACACACACACACAAAATGCTGGTAAAGTACCCGGTGGCCCTCAGGCACCTGGCTGGAACCAGCCTGTACTCACAGGACTCCAGCTCCTAGAGGGAGAAGCCATGCCTGGTTGGCTGCTTCGTCCCTTGTTCTTAGCATAGAGCCTGCAGAATGGTGCCTAATACATAGTTACTGAAGTAACAAATGGCTCATATTCTTACGAGTCCATAGATGGAGAGAAACTAGTACAATGCTCAATAGATTATAGCGTTATGGGTGGCGTCACCTGTCCTATGACTTGTAAAGCACGGTGGTTGGTCAAGAGTGTGGGTTCCCAGGAGCTGCACTGCTGGGGTTTGAATCCTGTTGGCTCCCAGAGGTGTCATCTGAGTCAAGTGCATCTTTAAATGGATCTACGTCTAAGATGCACCTCTAAAGTTGGGATGAGAATAGCATTGACCTCATGGAATTGTTATGGGGATTAAATGAGATGATCTGTATCAAGTACCTAAAATAGAACCTGCCTCATCAGGTTGTTAAGAGGAGCAAGAGAGAACACCCCTATAAACATCCAGAATGGTGCTCCATCAATGCGTTGTCCACGTAACGTCAACTTGTCTATCACTGATTGTCATCCTCAGATCAAACAGCAGCAGATCAAGAGCAGAGACCCCTAAAACACCCAGCAGCCCCTCCACTCCCACGTTTGCCCCCTCCGTCTGCCTCCTGGCGCCCTGCTATCTCACAGGGGACTCTGTCCGGGACAAGTGTGTGGAGATGCTGTCAGCGGCCCTGAGGGCAGAAGGTGAGAGCTCATGGGCCAGGGAAAGGGGCTCCCCAGGGCAGGCGAGGTGCCCCTTCCCCAACACCACTTCCTGGGAGTGGAAAGGGAGCACTGCTGTCCCCAGCTCAAGCAGGTACCTCTGTTGGTGGCAGTCGAGTCTGGCTCATGTCTGTATGTCCTGGTCTCTTTCAGATGATTACAAGGATTATGGAGTCAACTGCGACAAGATGGCTTCAGAAATTGAAGATCATATCCTTGAAGGGTGCCGGGTCTGTGGGTATCTGGTCCGCCTGGTGATGGGGCAGGCTCTGGGGACAGCCCCAGCCTCTTGTTAAGCACCTCAGCCACCACAGAGGACAACCCCACAAGGTTCCCTGATGGAACCGTTGTAGGTGGGGCAGCGGAGGCGCAGGGAGGTTGCCACTTGCCAAAGCTCCTGCAGCGGGTGGAGGTGGCAGAGTTGGGATTTGAACTGCTGGGTTCCAGCCGCTGTGCCAGATCCTAATGTGGATCTGGGTGGTCAGACAGGAAGCAGGTCTCCCACGTGGCCTTTCCCCTCTTCCTCCCTCTGATAGTAACAGCACCATGTTTGACCTCCTGATGTTGTACCAGGCCTGTGCGCTGTGCACCTGATGCTTCCTGTCTCTGTTAAGGCTCCTGACAACCTCTGAGGTGTGAGCTGCTGTTCCCATTGTATAGATGAGGAAGCTGAGGCCCAGGAACTACTGAGTGTCAGGTCTGACTGGAGGCTTTGGCCTTTGGATTTCCACAGGCCCTGCTCCCGCCTCCTGTCTGAAAGGGCTCTTGTGTAGACAGGGAGGGGCAACCTCACTGCTGTGGGCCCATTAGTCCAGAGGATTCTGCTTGGGAAAGAGTCTCTCCCTCCACTGTGCCCTGCTGAGTGAATGCATGGAATGTCTTTTTACTGAAGACAAAGGTTTGCCTGTCAGAGACAAAGAGGTGCAGAGGGAGGGGACAGAATACCTAGGAGAGAGGGAGTCTAAATGTCACACGGGGTGTGAGTGGCCCTTTCCAGACCTCCTGGGTTCTAGCTAGGTCTGTCAGTGAGGCCCAGGGCCAAATCTGCAGACAGCAAGCTTGCCTGCTTCCACATCCTGCCTGAAGCCAACCCTAAGTCCCCCAACATGTTTTCTGGAAGTTTCTCTCTATACATCCAGCGACTAGAACTACCCAAGACCTCAACAAACACGCTGCCATCCTTTCCTGTTAATCCAGGAAGGCCGAGCCCACCCAGGGTGTCAGGACTTCATTTTCTCCACAACGGCCACCCCTCTAAGCAGGTCCCTCTATCCCCAAGCCCAGTTTGAAACTAAGTGGATGGCCTCAAACCTGGTTTCCCTCTTGGCTTTCCCTCCTCATTCGCTGCTTCTACTGAATGTCCCTCTTCTAAAGGAAAGGACATGGACGCTGCACAAACCTTATAGCCCAGAGGATGGATGTAGGGCTTGAATTCTCTGTGTCCCCAGAAAAGGCTGGTCCTCTTTGGAGACCCCTGAACCTACGTGGCATGTGTGCAGCACAGGACGCACCCCTTCTGAGGGGTCAGACCCCAAGGGCTGCCCTCCCACTTCTCCTTCTCCGGTTTAGGAAATGGAGGAGTCAGAGATAGACTGAGGGATGTGTGGTCAGCCCAACTGTCCCCACATTCTGTCCTGCATAGCGACAGATACACGATCCAGAAATCCTGCATGGAAGGTTTCCTGACACATATTTTGACTCTCAAATTGCATCGTGACATATTCTTTTCTTTTCACACTTTTACGGTATTAAAACCACAATCGTAGTAAAGAGCAATAATACCTCCTGCCTCCCCACCATTTCTGGCGAGTCGGCTGCCTCCGTCCTGCGCATCCCCCACGGGCTCCTCTGTATGTGGCTTTTCCCAGCAACCGCTTTGTTTTCCTGATTCTGCTTGGCTCACGAGAGCCAGAAAATAAGGCTGTGTTCCCGAGCTGCTCCAGAGGGTGGGTGGGGGGGGGGGGGGGAGGCCCATCTGGGATGCAGCGTTGGGAAAGAAACTCGCTGTGGTCGGTGGCCAGGGGCAGCTTCCTGCAGGGTGAGCGGCCAGAGCACTGCTGTTAAGAGGGGGTCTGGCCTCCAGCCCTGTCTGCCGGGAATCTGCCCTGTGACCTTGAGCCTGCACCCTTTGCAAGCCTCAGCTTCCTCGTCTAGTAATAGGAGAAGGAGTCACTGGTCAGCCATTCCTGAGGTGGGTTCTATGGGATGAAAATCATGGTCATGGCAATTACCAAAGGAAAGGAGGAGAGGGGCCGGGCGCAGCGGTACAGGCCTCTAATCCCAGCCAATCCCAGGCTGAGGCAGGAGGATCACAAAATTTAGGGCAGTCTGGCAAAAAATGTCTCAAAAATGCTGGGCATGGTGGCACACACCTATAATCCCGGCGGCTCAGGAAGCTGAGGCAGGAGGATTGCAAGTTCAAAGCCAGCCTCAACAATTTATTTAACAAGGCCCTAAGCAATTTGGCAAGACCCCGTTTCAAATTAAAAAACAAAAAGGGGCTGGGACTGTAGCTCAGTGGTAGAGAGCTTGTCTAGCATGTGTGAGGCACTGGGTTCGATTCTCAGCACCACATATAAATAAATAAAATAAAGGTCCATTGACAACTAAAAAATACATATTAAAAAGAAAAAAAAAAGGCTGGAGCTGTGGCCCAATGGTAAAGTACCCCTGGCTTAAATCCGCAGTACCAAAAAGCAGAAACAGGATGTAGCTCAGCGGTAGAGCATCCCTGAGCTCATTTCTAGTACACAAGTACATAGTGCCCAAGGGAAGGGAAGATATAGGAGGGGGAATCTATGATCAAATATGTTGGGTACACCATGTCACGCAAAGTTCAATGCTTTTTTTTTTTTTTTGCATTACTTCTTAGAATATTAAATATGTATCCCTGCCCCCAGCTGCCCAGTACACTAGGGATTGAACCCAGGGCCTTACACATACTAGACAAGAGTCCTACCATTGAGTTACACACCCAGCCCTTTTTATTTTTTAAATTTTGAGACAAGGTCTCACTAAGTTGCTGAAGCTGGCTTTGAACTTGGAATCTTCCTGCCTCAGCCTCCTGAGTTGCTGGGATTACAGGCGTGATCAACATGTAGCATTTTTTTTTTTTTTACTATTTATTTTTTAGTTGTAGTTGGACACAATACCTTTATTACACTTATTTATTTTTATGTGGTGCTGAGGATCCAACCCAGGGTCCCGCACATGTGAGGCGAGCACTCTACCGCTGAGCCACAACCCCAGCCCCAACATGTAGCTTTTAATCTTCTCTAATAGCTGGACTCACAACCTCCAAGGTCCCTTCCAAACTAGAGATTCTCCTCATCTTGTCATCATCCTCACAGCCCATGATGTTGAACATTTGATACGTTCCAGACACCATGCCAGTGAGCTCACTGTATCTTTGTAACAACACTGAATTTTACTTATTTACTTATTTAGTGTTACTAGGGATTGAACCCCTGGACACTTTATCACCAAACTACATCCCCAGCCCTTTTATTTTTTTTATTTTGACAGAGTCTCACTAAGTTACTGAGGCTGGCCTCAAACTTGCCATCCTCCTGCCTCAACCTCCCACATCACTGGGGTTATGGGCATGTACCATCCTGCCCAGCTCCAAACTATATTTTATAAATAAGGAAACTGAGGTACAGAGAAGTCATGTGACTCATCTGAAGTCACACAAGAGGCTTAGAAAAAGCAGGGTGCCTGTTCCCCAGGGTCCTTGACACTATTGTGCTTGCTACCATTAGTCACTCCATGGAGGGTGTTTCGTGTCTATGATACTTAGATGACCCCAAATGCCCAAGTGCTACCTCCAGTGGCCAGTCAGAGGCCACAAAGGTGCCGCCAACCCCTGTAAAGTCCAAGGAGAGGAGGAGATGGCTCTGGATTCTGATCCTCTGTGCCCCTCTGTGAGTGGCAGGCTCTCCCTTGACCTTGTCACATATCTACCAGGAGCTCAAGAGCACAGACATGAAATACCGGAACCGCGTGCGCAGCCGCATCAGCAACCTTAAGGACCCCAGGAACCCTGGCTTGAGGCGGAATGTGCTCAGCGGGGCCATTTCTGCTGGACTCATAGCCAAGATGACAGCAGAGGTAAGGACCGCAGGGCCTCTGGGTGGGAGTGTGGGAGGCCGGGCTCCTCCACTGTGCCCAAGGCCCTTTTCCCACCAGAATCATCTCAGCCACCCACAGGGCCTCGAGAACCATCAAGATGATGAACACAGGCAACTTGTATGAAGTGCTGTGTAAGCACATGGACCACGGCAATAAGATAGAAATGTGTCGTCCCCATGTTACAGATGAGGACACTGAGGTCAGCCAATTTTCTGCTGCACGCAGCTAGAAAGCGTTGAAGCCAGGAGGCAGCTGTCTGGCCCCAGGGCACCCACCTTTCTCTGCTTCTCTCTCTTGTTCAGTCCTGTATCCCAGTTCCCAGTACCCAGGGCCCTGGCCAGGATAGGAGTCCAAGGTGAGGAGTCAGATGTTAAGTTATAATACCGAGTGGTAAATAATGCCACTGTGGGAACTTACAGGAGGGGAGGACTAACCCAGCCTAGAGGGGTCAGTAGAGGAGAGACCATTTGAGAAGTGATAGTGCAGTCCTCAGAAGCCCTGAACGGTGTCAGCCTTTGAATTCCGATTCTGCCACTTACCTGTGTGACCTTGGATGAACTATTTAACCTCTGTGCTCAGTTTTTCCATCTAAAAAATGAGGATGAGAATCAGAACTGCTTTCTTTTGAAGGACTAAATGGTTAATATATGTGAAGTAACAGATGTGTGATACAGGAGAAGATGAACCCAGAGCTTTCTGGGCCTCAAGGCAGGCTCCCATCAGGGTCAGTACATGATGGGCTCCTTCACCTATCATTTCCTGTAACCCTTCTCACGGTGTCGTACAGGAGGAAATATCCCCATTTTGTTGATAAGAAAACTGAGGCTAGTTAGTGATAGATGAGTATTTGATCCTAGGTCTGCTTATTTCAGAGCCCACATCTTGGAAAGACACCTTTTGCCACCCTCAGGCATGACGGCTCTCTCCTGCCAGAGCTCACTGGGGATCCCTGCCAGTAGCCAGAAATTGGAGAGTTAGCCGAGCGCAGTGGTGCACACCTGTAATCCTAGTGGCTTGGGAGGCTGAGGCAGGAGGATTTTAAGTTCAAAGCCAGCCTCAGCAACTAGCAAGGCCTTAAGCAACTCAGTGAGACCCTGTCTCTAAATAAAATATAAAAAAGGAATGGGGATGTGGCTCAGTGGTCAAGTGCCTCTGAGTTCAATCCCTGGTACCCCGCAACACACCAAAATTGGAGAATTGAAGTGACCCCGAGAAAGAGTGAAAGTGTTAGGTCCCTGGATCCTGGGTGGGCCTCAGGGTGTCTGGGAACCCACTGATCACTGTGACCTGTGTGTAGTGAGTGGTGTGGCACACGTGTTGTGTGTGTGCTGTGTGTGCTATGTGGAGTCTGTGTAGTATGTGTGTGACGTGCAGGGTGTGTTTGGTGTTTGGCGTGCGTGTGGTGTGATGAGTGTGTGTGTTACGGTGTGTGTATATTTACATTTCGGGGAGAGGGCTCACTGCCTTCCTCAAATACCCAAACAACAAAGAGCTCTTGCTCTAAGGTCAAGTGGGAACTTGGCAAATGTGCACCAGGTTACCTTTCTACTTAATTTAAAATATCTGATCTTTTTTGACAAATGGAAGTGGATGTCCATAATTGCAAATTGCAAGTCAGCTTACCAGTATCTTAGTTCAGGTTGCTGTAACAAAAATCCCCCCGTCGGGCAACCGATGCATGACAGACCCATTCAGTGCTGAGTGCTGAAAGTCCAAAATCAGGGTGCTGGCAGATTCCTTCTGGTGAGGGTGAGGGCCTCATTCCTTACAGACAGCTCTCTCATGGGACCACCTCACCTGGCGGGAAGAGTGAGCGTCTCTGGCCTCTTTATAAAAGTAATCCCACAGCCCTCCAGACCCAATCTCCTCCCAAGGACCCTACATCCAAATCCCATCACTTTAGGGGTTAGAATCTCAGCATTGGAATACCTGGGAGTTTCCTCCTGGGTCACCTCTTGCCCCAAGAAAGAAGTTTCTATAAGAAATACAAGACAGGGCTGGGGACGTAGCTCAGTGGTAGAGCACCCCTGGGTTAAATCTCTAGTTCTGGAGGAGAAAAAAATGTGTTGGGCAGATCCTTACTGAATTCACCTTCGGGGCTCTTCTCTGCCAGCACATGAAGGTCCAGCGTCCTCTCCTGCTCTTATCTGCTGAGTTGAGCGCCTGTTTTCTACATCGGTGTGCTCATTCCTCGTGTGTTTGTGTTCTGGTGGAGCAGGGGGTGGAAGCCAGAGCCTGGCGCATGCTCAGCAAGCGCTCTACCACTGACTGGCTGATTCCATGTGACTCTGAGAGGGGTCAATGGGTTGGCGGGTGGGTGGGTAGTTTTTCCTGTTCTCTGTTAGCAGGCACTTAACACCCTCCTTCCAGGATCTAGCCTCCCGCCATGTTTCCCACGCTCCTCAACTTGAAGCCACCCCACATACCCGTCCCCAAACACTCTGTCCTGGTCTTCTGCTCTTTCGTGTCTGCTGTTCTTTGTGTCTGCAATGTGCCGTCTCCTGGGAATCCATCTGTGGAGACTGGCTAAGGTCATCAGCGTCTTTTTGACCAGCCCTTCCCAGGCACTTCCCAGGCACCAGCCCTTCCCAAGGGAGGTGAGCTTCCGGCACCGGCACACCTCTGCTCTGGACTCCCTTCCCTCTCTGGTTATGGGGCAGGGACCAAAGCTTCCAGTCTGGAGCCTGGCAGCCGGGGGGCTGTGGTGTGCCCAGCCAGCTGCTGTCAGCTCCAGAGCTAAGTATGTGCAGCACTCAGTTACATCACTGTAGTGGCTTGACATTAACTTGTGCCTGGCACAACTGCACACACCTGTAATCCCAACAGCATGGGAGGCCGAGGCAGGAGGATCACAAGTTCAAAGCCAGCCTCAGCAACTTAGCGAGGCCCTAAGCAACTCAGCGAGGCCATGTCTCCAAATAGAATATAAAAAAGGGCTGGGGATGTGGCTCAGTGGTTCAGTGCCCCTGAGTTCAGTTCCCAGTACAAAAAAAGAAAGAAAGAAAAGAAGTTGACCACCGTGGGAATATTTACACCAGGTAAATTGACAGGTGCTTCCAAGGAATCAGGCACTCCCATCGCCAAAGCCCACTTATCAGCACACCAGTTAAAGGCATTCAGTAAATCGGCATCTGATAAATTTCAAATGGCTGACTGCATTACACTCTGGAAAATTCCCCCAAATTAAAGGCAGCAGCTTTTAGCTTCTGTGACCCTGGGTTGACTTATCTTTCTCTTATTAGTGTTCCTGCGAGGGGTGAGGCCCTCACTTACGAATTTAACACAACAGGGCTTAAACATTAGTGTGCACCGGAACAACTTGAGGACACTGGTTAAAAAAAAAATGTATGTTCCTGGGTCTGCTCTTGGCATTTCAGAGTCAGGAATATGCAGTTGACCAAGAAGCCTGAGTGGTTACAACGCAGGGTCAACACACTGAAACCGTTTGACCTTTATGCCGAGTCTGTTCCCTGCGGAAGCCTGACAGGCGGCAACAATTGAAGTGGCCGGCCAACACCACGTCCTCGCTTCCTCGGCTTCAGCCATGTTCCTTTCCCACACAGCTCCTAGCTGGCGCTGCCTCCAGCTGAGCATGCCCTTCTCTCCTCTCCTGTGGCAGAGGCTTAAAGGGAACCCAGTAGCCAGGGGACGGGAAGGGAAGGGTCTGGGTAATGCAGACCCTGCGAGTCCACAGCGGGTGCTGTGGGAGGGGATTCCTGCGAGCAGCACAGGTGAGCACTTAGCTCACCTGTGAGCCCAGACGCCTCAGGGTTCTGCTGAGGGCGGGGATGGCGGCAGCAAGTCGTGGATAGCTGGGCCACAGCTCCCAGAGAGGCAGGACGCACCGGGCAGTGCTCATAGCTGGAACAGGCTCTGGGTCAAGTCTAGACTGGAAGGGTTAGGGGACACAGGACATCTAGATCAGATGGGCAGTGGTTCAATCCAGGCCAAGGTCCTGGCAGGCAGGGGGAGGGCCAGGCCTGGTGGAATGAACCCAGCACTAATCCCAGGCACAGGCTGTTTGCCTGCTGTCCTCCCGTACACGCCCAGCTGACCTTGGCCCAGCCAGAGCCCCCAGGTTTGACCTTGCAGCCAGAGATGGAATGGGAATGGGGACGCCTCAGGTCCAGCATTTTCCCAGCTGGGGAGGACCAGAAAGCCAGGCCTCCCGCTAGCTCCTCGTACTCCATCCGGCATGCTCCCTCCTCTGTTCAGATGCTCTAGAAAGCAGCGGGGGGCGGGGATCTAGCTCAGGTGGTAAAGTACTTGCCTCGCATGCACAAGGCCCTGGGTTCAATCCCCAGCACCACCAAGCAGGTGTGGGGCCGTCAGCCCTCACGGACAGGCTCATTTCTCTCCAGGAAATGGCCAGTGACGAGCTGAAGGAGTTGAGGAACGCCATGACCCAGGAGGCCATCCGGGAGCACCAGATGGCCAAGACCGGCGGCACCACCACCGATCTCTTCCAGTGCAGCAAATGCAAGAAGAAGAACTGCACCTATAACCAGGTACCGGTGCTGCAGGCTGGGCCTGCGGAGGAGGAGCCAGGGACGGTGGAGGTGGTGAGCCAGAGAGATGCTTCGGAAGGAGCCCGGGGAGAAAGGGCTGAGGTTCTCCAGGCCGCAGAGACAAGGGCCAGGCTTGGGATACCACAGTGGTGCTTCTGCGGCTTCTAGAACATTTTCTGGCTGTAGAACAGCTGGCTGTGTGATGGGGAGGTGGGACCAGTGTTTTCTGGCCTGCCCTGAGGTAAGAATGAGAAGAGCCAGACACACAGGGGACCACCCCCGAGAGTCACTGATGGCCGGAAGGGAACTGAGCCGTGTGGAGCCAGCTTCTTCGTTATAACCAGGGAAACTAAGGCCCCTAGGGCCTCCAAGCCCCTTTTCCTCTCCAGGCCTCCGTCCTTCCATTGGTAAATTAAAGATGAACGAGGTGATTTCTAAAGTGCTCCCGGCTCACTCCCGCGCTGGTGGGCTGGGCACGTCTGTGTTCGGGGTGAGGCCTGCATGCTGCCTGTGGGAGGCAACAGCAGAGCGGTCAGTTTGGAAAGATCAACCCAAGGTGCTGGGGGCGACTCATGGACGGCCCGGGGAGAGGGAGGTATAAGTTAGGGAATTGCCAAAGTGGGACAGGAATATCAGTGCCAACCCCTGGGATCTGGACCTACTAGACAGGGGAAGCCATAGCAGGTTCTAGATCAGCAGAGCGACTTCACGGCTGGCTGTCTCTCAGGTGCAAACGCGCAGTGCCGACGAGCCCATGACCACCTTCGTCCTGTGCAATGAATGCGGGAATCGCTGGAAGGTCTGTAGTCTGTCTGTCTCCCTCTCTCATCACCCAGAGACCCGCCCAAAATAAGAAGAACTATCCCCACCTCCCAGAAGGGCCTCATGCCTGGGGCTTTGCCAGCCCACACAGAGTAGGCCTGCAGAGCCAGGCAGAGTGGCAGGTTGCTTGGGGCAGCAGGGAGAGAGAGCACATGCATGTATTAGTTCTGGAAGGGCGCCCAGCTGGGGTGGGAGCAGCATCCTCCATTTTATTGATGGGTGGGCAAGTCTGTCTTTGGTGCACAGATGGAATCCGCTTCCTGAGGCGCACAGAGGGGAAGGGAGACAACAGCCCCTGCCCTGGGACCGCACCTCTTTGCAAAGTGCTTTCACAGATGGTGGTTCCTCTGACCTGCTGCTGCTGAGCCCTGTGGGTGTGCGTGGGGGGAGAGCTCCCCGGGCCTGCTGTGCATCCTCTCCTCCGAGGCCGTTCTGGAGGTTTCCCAAGGCTGGGGCCCCAGGCTGCCCCGCTCCCGCAGAGGCAGAGGCTTTGTTCTGAGCCAAGAAGAGACTCCTCCCCGAGTGCTCCTCCCCGCCAAGCCTTCTCCTGAGGGAACTGGGTGTGGTCACGTGGTTGTGCCAGTGTCCAGTCCATCTGATTTATCTCACTTGTTTGTGCGCTGGGTGACCTCTGGGCCATCAGGCAGGTCATGGGGCTCCAACAGTTCTAAGATGCTTAGCAAGGGGCCCAAAGCTGTGATTGGGAGCCAGGAGCCCTGGCTTCATGTCCCATTCCTCCCTCCTTGCTGTGTGACCCTGAACATGTCACTTGCCTCTCTGAGCAGAAGGGTGGCGAGAATACCTTTATCCAAGGGTTGATGTGAGGATGAATACATATGCACACAGACTCTGCAAACAGTAAGAAATGGTGACAGTCTCACTTTCAGAGGAGGAAACAGAGCCAGAGAAAGAGTTAAAATCCAGAGTTCAGAGCTCTGAAGACCAAGGCTTCCAGTTCCTGATCAATTGATTTTCTGATAGAGGGCCGGCCTCCACAGCCTCACTAGGGCCTCTGTAGAATTGCCATATGGTTTCAGGTGAAGGCCAGATGGTTGTGCCTGTTTCCTTTATTTACTTTTCGAGCACTCATGGGTGGGTCTGTGCAGTGGTCTAGTGGTTTAGAGCAGGGACTTTGGCACCAGGCTCAGATCCTGGCTTTACTACTTACAGAATGGCCTAGCTCACGGCTCCTGCTCTCCAGGCCTGGATTTCCTCATCTGTAACATGGGGGTCGTAATATCCAGCCCACGGTGCCATTCTGCAGATGACATGTGTAAGGCATTACGGGCCTCATGGGGTCTCTGGCTGCTCTCTGGCATCTTTGTCAAATTAAAAAACAGATGGCTCTGCGGGGAATAGTGTGCACACCTGCAGTCCCAGCACAGGATTATAAGTCCAGGCCAGCCTCGTAATTTAGCAAGACTGTGTTTCAAAATAAAAAATAAAAAGGGCTGGGGATAGGGATGTAGGTCCATGGGAGAATGTCCCTAGGTTCAATCTCCAGTACTGCGGCAGTGTGTGTGTGGGGGGGAATAGCCCTGTCCCAGGGTACACAACAATCAGAGTGTGGGCTGTTTCAGCCTCAGCTTACCCCTTAGTCTAGGCACTTTGTGCAGTCAACAACTTGCACAACCACACCAAAAAAAGCCCTGAACACATATGTAAAAACCACTCTGAGTGCCATTTTGATGGTGTCATCTAGTATTCTGGGATGTGGGGTAAGTCATTTAATGCTGCTTGCTTACCTATACAGATTGGAGTAACACTAGTATCAACCTCATGGAAAATGTGAGGTTGAAATGAGTTAAACATAAACACTACGACCCCACCCAGAGTAAGTGCTCAGTAAATGACCGCTCTTGTGACTGACGCCACTAGGGGAAGGTGTCCTGCATGCCACAAACCCAGCACCTCCTCCCTGACTCCTATTGAGAGTCAGGACCCATTAGAGGTGGCAGCCATGTAGCTTCTGACAACATTTTCAGTTATTTCCATTGCTATGGGGGAGACTAAGCCCACCCAAGGCATCAGTGACAATCACAGTGTGTTCTCAGCCATTAATCAGGAAGCTGCAGTGTGCCTGCCGGACGTGGAAGGGCCACTCACTTCTTACCTGACCTCGTTCTCCCACTGGCCAGCGTATGATCCCATTTTACAGATGAGTGATTTGCTCAAGGTCACACAGCGAATAACAGCCGAGCGGGGCTTGGGATCCTGGCCTGTGGCTCCAGACCCCACCTTCTTCCTCATGTCCCCGAATGCCCTCCCTGGAAGACACAGGAACCTCTCCGATTCTGTTGCTTTTTTGGTTTTGTAGTTCTGCTGACAGGACCGCCCGCCAGGACCGCAGCATCCGAAGGCAAAGAACAGAGAGGGCGAGCTGAGCCACCGAACTGGAGAAAAATAAAAGTTAAAATGAAGAAAAATACTGAACTCTGAATGAGGTAGTAGGGATCAGAGGGAGAATTCTTACACAAACTGGTGATCAGTTATTAATAATAAATGGCTAACGGGGGGAGCCTAGTTGGGGTTCAGTGCTGAGAATCTGTGGACAGACCTCCTGTGCCAAGCCGGAGCCTCAGAACTGAGGGGTCGTGCCTCTCACAGTGGGCCAGCAGACCTTTGCTTTCACCCTTCCCCGCCCCCGTCTGAACCACAGCCTTTTTTGGATTGAAAAATACCAGAGGAGGCCGAATGGGGTGGCACATGCCTATCATCCCAGCAACTTGGGAGGCCAAGACAGGAGGATCGTGAGTTTGAGGCCAGCCTCAGCAATTTAGTGAGGCTCTGTTTCAAAATAAAAAATAAAAAGGCTGGGGGTGTAGCTAGGTGTTAGAGCACCCCTGGGTTCAATCCCCAGTACCACAGAAAAACAAAAACAAATAAAAAACAGATCAACATGAATGCTCCCCCACCCCAGAGCCACAGTTGGGGCGTAGCCAACCCGTGGTTTGACTCAGGGAGATATGACTCCCACACCAGGCAGGAGCATCTCGATTCCCTCTCCTCTCTTCCCAAACTCCCTGCTATTCCCTGTTCACAGCTGGTTATAGGGGACCTTTGAGGACCCCAGACCAGGTCCCTCTAGGTGGAGAACGGCTCCTCTAGAGGCAGTGCCCGGACTTTCACAATCCTTGGAGGCCCTGAGCCTTGGAACCTGCCCAGGCCCTAGCACTGTGCTCCACCCGGCTCCATCTGTGGCCCCAACTTCAGAGGAAGTCAGCAGACCCCAGGGGCCTTGTCATGCTTCTCCCTTGAGGACATCAGCTTGCTTCTCATGCTGATAAGAACTCTAGGCAAAGCTGGAAACTTCTGGAAAAGTCCTTGGGAGCAGATCTGTTGTTGAGCCTTATGGGTCTCAGTCTCTGTCCCTGGCCTTCCATCAGCCCCAGGCTGAGTTGCCTTTACCTAAAATGGACAATGTGCATGAGCCCATGTACTCCGGGGAGCTTGGGCAAGTCACTTACCATCTCTGAACCGCTTCCTTACCTCTAAAAATGGAAGTAGTACTGCTGCTGCCCCCTCGGGTGACATGTGGAGGTCGCTGGGTGCACCCTGCTCTGCCTTGGTTCACCCTGGGGTGAACCGTAACAATAGCCCGAGCTCCTCATCTCCCCGGGCATCGTCCCCTCTGCCACTGGTGACGTCCTCTTCTTCTGCCCGTCATGGGATTCTCCTGAAGATGAAGCCCGTGAAGAGACTGTTCAGAAATCTGCCATCATCTCCGGCTTTTCAACAGTTAGAGCTGCAGGGGGCCGGTGGAAAGGCCGGGTTCCCTCCCAGAAAGGTCAACACCCACCGCTCCTACAGGCAGAACAGGACTGAGACCCAGGTCTTCTGTTCCCTGTTGTTGTGTTTGTCACTGAGACATCTAGAGCTGGACACAGTGCTCAGCCTTGCCTTCCAGAAATTCATGGACTGATGGGGAAAGAAACCATAGACTTCCACACTAGATGGGATGTGACAGGCCATATCTGAGGTGCAAATATTGTCTGCAGAAATGCAGAGGGTGCTGCTTAGAGACCCAGGTGCTCCGTGAACTTTGATATTAGAGGGAACCCCTGGGAATTATGCTAAAATACAGATTTTGATTCAGTGCATCTGTGATGGAGCGAGATTTTTCACTCCCCACAGGCTCCCAGGTGATACTGATATTGCTGACCATGGGCTGCACCCTGAGTAGGAAAGGCTTGACTATCTAACTTTTGTTTGCATTGTCTAAACCTCCATCTGAATGTTTAGAAACCAACAGTAGAGCCAGGCATGGTGGCACACGCCTATAATCCCAGCAGCTCAGGAGGCTGAGGCAGGAGGATCACAAGTTCAAAGCCATCTCAGCAACTTAGGGTGCCCTGTCTCAAAATAAAAAATAAACAAGGCTGGGGATGTGGCTCAGTGGATAAGCAACCCTGGGTCCAATGCCTGGTACAAAAAAAAAAAAAAGAAGAAGAAGAAGAAGAAACCAACAGCAACATAATAAAATAGCAGCCACTATCAATTAAGTGTCAATAAAGGTTTCTTTGGGGTGATTTTTTAAAGGTGGTGCCCTGGGGCAATTTTCTTTAGTCACAGTCTAATCTCCACTGTGTTCCCAGTATCGTGGGGACTTAAGCGTAGAGTGAGGGGGGCAACTATGAATCCACCCTCCAATAACCTGCTTACAAAGGCAAAGCGCCAGATTATACAGCAAGAGAACAAACCGGCTCAAGTCCACACATCTGCTGGTCCTCGTGTAGGTTCACAAAAGGATGCAGGAAAGCATGAACAGGCCAGACTGTGTCCATCAGCGAGTGTCCACCCCAGTGGCCTTCCTGTGTCCTCCGTGGATATTCTGCCCATGTCCTCCACTGTGCAGAACAAGACTCAGGGTTTGTTTGTTTGTTTGTTTTTGTACTAGGGATTGAGCCCAGGAGCACTTAACCACTGAGCCACATCCCCAGCCCTTTTTTTAATATATTTTATTTAGAGACAGGGTCTCACTGAGTTGCTTAAGGCCTTGTTAGTTGCTGAGGCTGGCTTTGAACTCACCATCCTCCTGCCTCAGCCTCCCAAGCCACTGGGATTATAGGCGTGTGCTTCTGCACCCGGCTCCAGAATCAGCTTTTCAAAGTTGCCCATCGTGTGGTGTTGAGTCCCCTGTTCTGCCTGCCATTTAGAAGCTTCCATTTCCCCACTGTTCTTGGCAGCGCCGGCCTCTGCCTCACCCCCGCACTTTGAGCTTCAGCCACACTGGCCTCTCCCAGTTCTCCGTGGCGTGCTGTGCTCCTCCTGGGCACAGAGGCTTTCCACAGGCTCTTGGCTGGCACACAGGGTTTAACCCCGTCTTCTCCATCTCAGAGATGAAGGGTGTGAGCTGTAGCAGCTCAGCTCTAACCTCTACACCCAGGAAGGCTTCAGGGGAAGGGGAGAGTGTTCCCTTGTAGGAGGAAAAGGACGAGGGTTAGATGAGGTGAAACCCAGGCAACATGCTTGGAATGGAGGAGAGAAGTCCCTACAGGGACATTCTGGCCAAAAAAACCTGAGAGCAAAAAAGCCCATACAAGATCCCGTGACGCAATTTAAAAGATATTTTCCAAGGGTGACGGGAATGTGAAACACTGTACAGAAGCCTCCCTTAGTAACCTCCCCCAGACTATGGAACCTGTCTCTAGGCCCCATTTTCCTTCAGTTCAAGGCTTATGTTACCAGGTGCCTGTTAGGATTCTCCTCCCAAGTAGACCCTCTGAGTGATCTGAGAAGTCAGATCACTTCTAGTGATCTGAGAAGATGCCCTCACATCTTCCCTTCCCAGGTCCCTTCTGCTTTCTTTTCTGTCAACTAGTTCAGTCCTTGAACCACCTGGGGCCTTTCCCTGCCCCTTCACCTCATCAGCTACCAGTTCCACAGCGTCTCCCCATCCCACCCTTCCCACCACTGCCAGCACCGTGGACGTGGCCTTTCAGCTTTTCTTTTCTGGGACTGGTGTGAAGGCTCCTTATTGGGCTCCCAACTGGCGCCACCCCTCCCTGTCCCGACTGCATGTACCTGCATGGCTGTGAGCCTCCCTCTCCTAGTCATCTGCAGAATATCGCCCTTGGTGAGCCAATCAAATTCAGATTTCTTGGTTTGATTTACAAAGCTCCCTCCTTCTGTCCTCTGTGTTTTGCTTTTTGTTTTGTTGTTTTTGAGGGACCCGGAAGCTTTTACTTCTTTGTCTGCCTGAGGACCCTCACCCTCTGCATGTCTTTGGTGGCTTATCGTCTACCCCTGCTGACCCTGGTGCTACAGCTCATGGGAGATACTAGCTCATGATACATCATGGTAAATGTATTTTGACATATTATATATATACATGGAGTACAACTTGCCATTCCGGTTGTGCATGATGGGAAATTACATTGGTATTCTTGAATACCCAATGGACCTTCCCACCTACCACCATCTGGTCTGCTTCCTTCTCACCCTGGTTCAAACCTTACCCATTCCTCAAGGCCCACCTTGGATGCGCATCTTGTATGAAGCCTCTGATCCCCTGGCAACATAAGACAGTGCCCCAGGACTTCTATAGCTCTGTGAAACTTGTCACCCCTGAGTCTATCATGATTCTAGCTCCTTCTCTCATTGCATTCTACCATCATGATGATGTTCTTTTAATACTTCTTTGTCTGACAGTGTCAGTAATATCTATTGAGTATTGACTCTCTGGGTGTCTTGCACACACCATGCAACTTCTCCCAACTTCCAGTTTTCATCTATAAAATAGTGATAATAACCACCGCTAGCTCCAAGGGTTGTTTTGAGGATTCATTAAGTTAACACAAGGAAGGCACTGAGAATCCTGCCCCATACAACAACCAACCAGTAAATACCTACTAGGTAATTATTATTAGGCATGTAGGAGAGCATGTCATATTGTCTGACCTAACATCTGGCCCCAAGTCACTATTATTATACTGTTTTTGAAAATTATACATCCCAGCTACTCAGAAGGCTGAGGTGGGAGGATCACCTGAGCCCAGGAGTCCAAGACCAGCATACCAAGATCTCCTCTCTAAACAAACAAACTTTTTTTTTAAAGAGAAAGAGAGAATATTTTAATATTTATTTTTTAGTTTTCAGTGGACACAACATCTTTTTTTTTTTTAATGTGGTGCTGAGGATCGAACCCAGTGCCCCGCTCATGCCAGGTGAGTGTGCTACCCAGCCCACATAAACCGTCTTAACCATTTTTAAACATACAGTTCAGTACGCTACACTCACACTGTTAAGCAACTGATCTCCCCAAATTTTCTTCTTGCAAAACAAACTATTAAGCAGCTCCTCATTTCCCCCTCCCCCAACCTCTAGCAACTGCTGTTATACTTTCTGCCTTACAAATGTGGATTGCTATACTCTTTACAGGCTGAGGGACCCCAGGTTTGGAGAGAAATTTGTTCT